CCAATATCCCACAGGCACCTGCTCCTGTATCACACCCGCCAATATCCCACAAGCACCTGCTTCTGCATCACACCCGCCAATATCCCACAAGCACCTGCTCCTGTATCACACCCGCCAATATCCCACAGGCACCTGCTCCTTTATCACACCCGCCAATATCCCATAAGCACCTGCTCCTGTATCACACCCGCCAATATCCCACAAACACCTGCTCCTGTATCACACCCGCCAATATCCCACAAGCACCTGCTCCTGTATCACACCCGCCAATATCCCATAAGCACCTGCTTCTTTATCACACCCGCCAATATCCCACAAGCACCTGCTTCTGTATCACACCTGCCAATATCCCACAAGCACTTGCTCCTGTACCACACACACCAATATCCCACAGGCACCTGCTCCAGTATCACACCCACCAATATCCCACAAGCACCTTCTCCTGTTTCATACCTGCCAATATCCCACAGGCACCTGCTCCAGTATCACACCCACCAATATCCCACAAGCACCTTCTCCTGTTTCATACCTGCCAATATCCCACAAGCACTTGGTCCTGTACCACACGCACCAATATCCGATAAGCACCTACTCCAGTATTACACCCGCCAATATCCCACAAGCACCTGCTCCTGTATCACACCTGCCAATATCCCACATGCACCAATTTCCTACAAGCACCTGCTTTTGTATCACACCCGCCAATATCCCGCAAGCACCTCTTCCTGCATCACACCCACCAATATCTGAAGGTATTGGAGGAAGACACAACTGAGGGTGAGGGGGTTTTCCTTTTTTTGTGTTGACGTTAGCAAACCAGGTAAGTTTCGGTAAGTTACGGAAACAGGTAAGTTTCGGGCAGGCCGAGTGTCCCCAGCTGAGTAAAGAGGCTGGTGCTACTGAGCTGTGTGCTTTACAGTGGAAGCTGAGCGCAGGCTGAGGGAAGAGGAAGAGAGGCGGGCGGAGGAGCACAGGCAGCTGCTGGAGATGGAGGAGGGGGAGAGGCAGGAGTACCTGAGGCGACGGAAGGAGGAAGAGGAGCAGAGGCAGCGCCGGGAAGAGGAGAGACGAAGGCAGGCGGAGGAGCAGGCCAAGAGAGCCCTGGAGGAGGCCAGGTGGCAGGCTGAGAGGTTGGCCAGGTAACCCCCTGCACAGAATCTTTCACTCTCTCCAGGAGCCTTGCGGTATTCAAAGAGTGCTGCCACTGTCCAGTTTTCCCTCACCTGTGTACCGTACAGTGCCAGTATCACATTTCTGCATGACCTCCAGTGTTGAGCATTTTTCTTGACTTTGTTCCTCTCATTGTAGCTCATTGGAGAATACTTTAGTACCTTGGATGACAGCTTGGGTGACAGTGGTGAGCATTGCTGATTCACAGCGCTGAGGCCCCGAGTTCAAATCCTTAGGTGCTATCTGTATGGAGTTTGTATGTTCTCCCCATGTTTGCATGCTGGTAGGTGAATGGGTTTCTGGGAAACCAGGCCCTGGTGTGAGTGTCTGGCTGCCCTGTGTTGAACTGGCGTCCCCTCCAGGGTGTACCCTGCCCTGCCCCCGTTGCTTGCTGGGATAGGCTCCAGCTCCCCTGCGACCCTGAATTGGAAGGTTTAGGAAACAGATGGAGGGAACCGTAGCTCAAGAAGTAGTCATCCATACTGCTCCAGAAGGACGTCATTAAAAAGGTTTTCAGGTTTCCGACTTATTGCATTTCAACTCCCTTGGGGTATGGGGTACCTCCTTGTGGAAGACATCTATAATGTCTTCTGCCACCACCAAGTGGCGGAAGAGATTCGGTTCATTTAAAATTAGGGTGGAGCAGTGTATACCGTGCGCCGCTGGACAGTTTGGAGCAGGGCAAGCGGAAACGAGTCACGAGAGGGTGACGCCCCCCCCCGAGCAGCAGGAGGCAGTGCAGCCTTTCAGCGTTTTGCACCGTCTTGTGTTTCTCAGACAGAGGGCCGCGCTGGAGCAGCAGCTCCGTTTCCGACGGGACCTCCTGACGGAGGCCGAGGGGCTGGAGAGGATGCAGGACGTCTCCCGGCCCTGGGTCTACTCCTACTTCCAGCTGCTGCAGCTGCTGGGCTTCACAGCCGACGCCCCGGAAGAGGTGTCCGAAGAAATCTGAAGAGTCGACGTGCCTGAATATAGCCGCCTCCTCTCCATCATAAATTCAAGGCCGTTCCAGTCAAGAGGATCACTGCATTTCTAACAGAGGAATAAAGCAACATGCAAGATTGAAAACTTCTGTTTTTCTATAGGAGTGAGCAGGGAAATGTCTCCTGTATTCCAAAGCAGAGTCATGTTGCTGAGATATGATTAAGGAAAGCAGCGACAATGCAATGAGAGCTTCTAATATTGTTTCAATAAATTATATCTAGTGATTTGAACTGATGACTTTTCTTTTCAAAAAGCAGTTGGTC